AGTGATGTGGGGAAAGAAGCCATTAAGTTCCTTGAGGAAAGAAAAACCGAGCCCCTCTCACAATTTGTACAGATTATGCCACACGAGTTCAATTTTAGATACTTGCTGTGTACATAGTTTTTGCTTATGTTTTCTGTAAGGTTTTATTGCTTCTGTGGATACAATTAGTAAACAGCTCTAGATCATACATGTGAGAATAATGTAAATGCCATTTGTTATTTTCTCACTTGGAAAGATTTTCTTAAATGCCTTCTTATTAGGTAAGGCTCTAAATAATTAAATTAAAAGTTAAGATAGTTTCTTGTATCTTATAATTAAAATTTAATTTAATTCATGTGTTATGTTAAAATATAATTTAGACTATCCATATAATGATTACATTGTATTTTAATGGTAATATGTAAATATTTATTTCAAATAAAAGATAGAAGTGGAAAGTCAAGTTAAAAACGAGAACTAGATTGGTCCATCATTTCAAAATGGATTGCAAATATTTGGTAGTTCGGCCGAAAGGTAAGTGGGCTGACACGTCTGATATGCCAAAAAAATATTGGAAATTGCTTCCTGCACCCTATCGTTTTTCTTCCTTTGCCCTTACACTTCGGAATTTATTTTTCGGAACACAAAAACAGTTCTGGAACACAATTATTTTTTTCTGGACAGCAATCTTCCCTCCTATTACGGAATTTTCGGTAGCTTTCTTTATGGGATGGATGAAGAAATGTGATAGGTGGAGGAAGCAACAGTCAAAAATATTTTAAAAAAGGGTAGAGAAAGGAACTCAAAGTCAAAAATATTTTAAAAAACGGTACAGAAAGGAACTCAAAGTCTCCACAAGACCCCATTTAAGTTTACTTTAGCTTACACTTCCAAAAAATTTCATTTTGCACTTTCAGTTTTCAAAAATAATCTCAGAATTACAATTTTTTTTATCAAATTTTAAAATCCGATAAAAGAAATAAAATATCTTTTATCAAATTTTGAAATCTAATAAAAAAATCATTTATTGAATTTTGAAATCTAACTAAGCACAAAATGTGAAATATAGGGTTTTTAAATTGTAGAAGATAATTTTAGAATTTTTAAAAATTTGAAAATATATAATGAAATGATCGGAGGTGAAGAACCTCGTTTAAATTGTGAAGTGAACCAGTAAAAGCCCAAATCAATGAGGTGGAAAAGAACGTCGGAAACAACAAATGAGTTTGAACTATAAGTTAACTATCAATTCTACAAGGAAGGGAAGACTCACCGGAGGGGTGCTTTAAGGCAAATTACATCCTTCAATTTTCGAAGAAATGTAAGTTAATTATTATTTAATTTAAATTCACTGTATTTTCTTTTTATGAAATGATATTTAACATTTAATAGTAATATATCTCATGGAGGTGGTAAGCCATTATAGATATGCTTCTTAGACGTAGTTTTACTCTATACGACTGTCGTTCTCATTCTTTTTCTTTTTCTTTCTTAATCTAACTCTCACTGTTAATGTTATGACTTTCAAATATATAATGAATTGTATGATTGTAATCAATTTTTTTGAGACTTTATCTGTACACCTTACTTTTATTATCATAAGTTCAAATAAATATTTAAAACTAGTAACCACTAACCGTACTAGTATTTAATGTTTTATTTAAATAATATATAAAGAAAGTAAGAGAGAGTAAAAAAGAAATAAAAATAAAAAATAAAGTTAAAAACTAGAATAATTAAACTCCATACATATTTTTATTGTGATATAATTAATTACGTTCCATCTTGATCTATAAGTGACACAATAACGTGGCTTTCCTTTACATTACTCACCTTTTCTATAAAAAAATGTTCATAATTTGTTAAAGATAAGTTGCTTTTAAGGAATCATTTAATTGAAAATATATTAAAATGCAAAACAATGAGTTCCAAAGAAAGCAATTAAAAAATAAAGACAATTGGTCTATTCTCATACCATAATTAAAGTTTAAATTTTGAGAGTGATGCTTTCAGTCTCGAGTCTCTACACTCTCAATTAAATATTGTCAATATACTTTCTTTTGTATTTTTTATGTGTGCAATTCTCTTCTATGCTTCAGTCTGTCAGAAAACAATTTTTTGGACTGTCTAAAACTACACAATTTTATCATTATTTGTGTATTTAATCTTCAATGGTAGAGTACCAAAATCTTTATATAAATGTATACAAATTTTTGAAATATCCAATATATATATAATATATTAAACTCTTAAAATAATATTTTTAATTATATATTAATTTATATAAATTAAAAATAATTGTCTCCTGTCACAGATTAAAGTTCATCACTGAATACTTAAATATAATTTATATATTTAATATAAATTTATATTAAAATATATTTATTTATTAAAAGTAAAGTTTAAATCTTTTATGATTGTGTAAAGAGATTTTATGATCTCCACCAATATATATGTTAAGCATGACTTTTTTCGAGTACATGTGATAAAAGAGTCAATCAAATCACTATACATTATTATTTATAATCAATCAGCGTAAAATTATTGGACCCATCATTGCATATACCATTTTCTTTTAGAAAATATCTATTACATAAAAAGAAATATTTATCATGTATTATACGTGTATTAAAATTCCATAATTTTAAAACTATTTGTTATTGAACCAGTTAAGACACGTTTCCAAGGTTAACGATCGTTAGTTAAATTATTATAACAATTAAACACATGCAAAATAATTTTTAAAAATATAACATCATAATTTCATGATACTAAAAACTAAACTAAAATATAAATTTATATATTCTTAAGATGTAATATATATATTTATATATATCATATTTAAAATTTTAAACAACACACATCAATATTTAATGTTAACTTAATAGATATAGAATAAAAAAGAAAATTAACAATATTTTAGGTTGATATTTTGTTTGGTTTAAAATATTAAAATTGGAATTTGACAATCGTGCTAAAATCCTAATTTACATTTGTGGAAGATTTTGTAAAAGAAATGTTTATTTGAGGAAGATTTATATCCCAAGACAAAATGATATTCAGTTATTCCTGTTTATTCAAATACAAAGGCATTCGAAATAAGTATAAATAATGAATTATATGGTAAAAAAAAGCGTTGTTGATTGGGAATGAGAAATAGAAAGAAGAAAATTATTTTTGTAAGATTAACTCATCCTTAATTTGGTGCACTATTCTCAGTGTCGTTGAAATGTGAACCCTTTTACATTTTTGTACATCAAATTTTTGCATTGAAAACATTGAAAGGAGAGTTTAATTTGGATCTTGAAGAAACTGTGCCCGATACGTGATTGTGACTGGTTTTTTGGCAAGCTGTTACAGTCAAATCCGAGATGCAGCATTTCCCACCAAAGCTTCTCGCTTTCTCCAGAAAGTGTATTTTCTGGTAAAATGTTAGTGTTATGTCTACCTTCCCCAATGAAAAACAGGCAATTCAATCTCAGATAATACAAACCAGAAATTAAAAAAATAAAATAAAAAAGAAAGAGAGTTGTGTACAATCATCAATCCCATCAGCAGCCCAATAATTCGAAAACAATGATGATTGGAGTGTGATTTGAGAATAATTTATTTTAGGGTAATCCGTTGAGTGATTCGGAAGTGGCGTTGATAATAATGTCAAAGTTTAGCCTAACGGGATGTTTCACTTGGAAAGAAAAATCAAAAGCATCGTTTATAGGGACGGAAGTGCAAGGCAGAGAATAAACATTGCGTTGTTTGGTCCAAGTAAGGACATAGTTACAACAATGTGGCTGGTAATCAGTCACTGCTCTCAAACAGTTTACAACAAAAATTTGCAGTGTTGTAGGTCCATTCAATCAAACACTATCAATTCCATGCTATAGCTGGCTTCAATTCTTTCTTGGACACATTCGAAATCCACTTGATACACCCTTTCTCAATCCTGATAAGATATGCGAACTTAATTAACATTTTACTTATTTATTTGTGTGGTGTTGTATTTATTATGATTAGGAATGCAATGAAACAGAAGCACATGAGGAGCAGAAAAATTAGGAATGCCGAAATCACAAAGCAATGCGGCATACGTAAAAGGAACTTTAATGCATACTTTGTCAACCTCTCATGGTACCAGCCTGATACCGACGTTGCTTCTTCTTTTTTCATTACTCGCGTGGAAGGTCCCCACCTTCCACGCTAACCCCATTTTGTTCGTTTTTAACATTAACATTAATGTTTTTTATGCGCCACTTTCTTCTCCATCTTGCTCCTTACCCGATTTGTGTCCAATCTTTCTCTTTCCCTTTTTCATATCACTTTAAAACATGACATGCAAATACACATGAAGGTAGAATTCGTGGTATTACATTGAACCAAAACGTAAAATGGAGAGAGAGAGAGAGAGAGAGAGAGAGAGAGAATGGAAATACATACAGTGATCCCGGACCATGTGTGCAAAAAGTATGAGCGTGGGATGGAAATAATAGGAATTGATAAAGGCATGAAAGGAAAAGAAAGAAAAGAGTGGTTATGGTACAACCGGGCCTGTTGATAATTTCTACTGCCTAACACGCCTTTGTCGAATATGACCTATGGTCTGACACATTAAAATAAAAAAGGGTGGAAAGAAAGAGAGAGTCACTAAGAAGCAAAAGCAAATTTTCATGTACGCACAGCAAAAATGTTAGGGAAAGGACGCTCTTCGTCTCAATAATTACTACTCAAGGTTTCAGAAAGCAAAAAAGGCAATTGACGTTGATACTCCGTGTAATGATCAGAGAGGCACATGCCACTCCAACATTACCACAACACAACACAACCCTCTCTTCTTCTTTTTTATTTTTTAGAGCTTTTTCTTCCCGATTAACCCCACCCCACCCCCGTGGTCCACCCTCCCCTTATCTTATCACCTTCAACCCCCTATCAATTCACAAACTTTGTCACATCAACCTTTAATCTCACTCGGTTTTTCCCTCACTCAACCAAGTCCAAAGTAACCGACCCCCTCACTTCCCACTATAAAGATTCCATGACCTAACCCTCTTTAACACCTTATTAGCTTGGTACACCCAACCAATACCTTCTTTCCTTCACCCTTTCTTCTCTATATCATCCTATACGTCTCATCCATTCATAATAACCTCTAAACTCCAACACATACACACACATCCTATCCTTTACAAAATAATCGCTGTCATTCTTTACAAAATAGCATGCTATAATGCCATCGGTGCATTCTAGTCCGTGTTACCCGATGGAAAACCCGGCTTTGGCATCTTTACTCCGTCACACGACGGGGGAGAGTAAGCGTAGCAGCAAATTCTCCAGCGGAGGAGGGCTTTTGAAAATGTTCAAGTTGTTTCCCATGTTGACTTCTGGATGCAAAATGGTGGCTCTCTTGGGAAGACCTCGGAAAATGCTAAAGGACAGCGCGACGACCGGGACCATCTTCGGTTACCGCAAGGGGAGGGTGAGTTTGGCCATACAAGAGGACACGCGTCAAATGCCCATTTTTCTGATCGAGCTGCCGATGCTGGCCAGTGCTTTGAACAAGGAAATGGCGTCGGACATCATGAGGATTGCGTTGGAGAGCGAGACGAAGAGCAGCAAGAAGAAGCTGATGGAAGAGTTCGTGTGGGCGGTGTATTGCAATGGGAGAAAGGTGGGTTACTCCATCAGGCGGAAACAGATGAGCGACGATGAGCTCCACGTGATGCAGCATTTGAGAGGGGTGTCCATGGGAGCAGGGGTGCTCCCCACCGCATCGGATCATAAAGATTCCGACGGAGAAATGACGTACATGAGGGCAAGGTTTGAGAGGGTGGTTGGGTCTAAGGATTCCGAGGCTTTGTACATGATAAACCCAGATGGGGCTCAAGGCCCCGAATTGAGTATCTTCTTTGTTAGACCTCACTAGATTTCATCAAATCAATTATCATCATCATCATCATATCATATCCGTATATACCATATCATATCTTTATCTATCATTCCTACTGTAAGCTCCACCTCTTTCAAAAACTCCCATTCCATTCCCTTCTTCTTCTCATCATTCTTAACCTTCCATTCCCCGGTTATCAGTAATTCTTTTCAAAACGAATAATAAACATACATATATATACCACTCATTAATCACAGATTTCGAACCGTTTATATATTTCGAGTTATCTCTGGACTGTATGTTTCTTCTGTGAATGTCTTTACTTGTCCATTAGTAGATTAGAAGAGCTTCAAAGGATTTGGGCGCCCAAAAAATGTCTGTACTGGAGAGAAAAAAATAGGTCGCTTTTTGCCTGGGACGAAATAAGAAAACTTACTTTCTGCTAAACATTTTTCAGAAAAATAATAATAATAATGCATGCCCACTCACAAGAATATACAACATACCAAGTAATAAATATACACGTGCAGTTATTTTTTAACATTTTTACTTTTGGTCACTTTTGCATTCTGTTTTCCATTTTGTCTCTTATTCAATAAAGTTATCCAGCAATGAATATAGTAATAAATATGGTATCATTGCGGTAGTTTGTTCATGTAGTTTCATAGAATCTAAGAGAAGTTGCACCGATTATTTTTTTCAATATTAATTTTTTGCGAGGCCCATGATCTATAAAAAGCAAATCACTTCATCTAATAGATTTCTTTTTATATTTTTGTATTTTATTCTTTTTACAGATTATAACTGATATTATCTTTGTTTCTGCATCGTTAATTTTCGTCTGTTTTAATCTTGGGATTATTTCTTCCGAGACTCTTACGCTTTGATTGTTAAAACATTTTATATGATTTCTCAAATAGTTGTTGCTATTATATATCGGAACTAAAAAAATTACGCTAAATATGTGTTAAAAAAGTTTCTTTAATAATATAGATTTTATAAGATTTGTAGGTCATGACTGACAGTTGCTAACTTAGATATTTGTCAGCAGCAGCCTGTCTTTTTCCCCGCTTACTTAGAGGCGAAACTAATATATAATTAAAAACTTTTAATCTTACTTTATTATATTAAGTTTTTGTTTAATTTTAAAAAATTACTATAATTATTATCTTCTTCTGCTATCATTGAAACTAATATACCTTATATATTAAATGGTCGATCAAAAAATTACTTTTGCGCTTTCACAATTTGAACAAAATTGAGTAGAAAAGCGTTATAATTATGTTTTCCTGAATTGTTCTTTTTTTCATTTATTGAACCCATGATGTACCCTAGGTATAGATTCCAACACAATTTGAGTACTCCACATGAAAACATATATAGGTCACATCTAAAGTTTCAATCACATTTTGTTTAACATAAGATTGGTAGAATTATCCTAGTTTTGTGTTATTAGAGTGATAGTTGTGATTTAAGATAGGAAATGTGGTTTGAAATATGTTGGAAAATATAGAAAAGAAATAGATATATAGAATGAATGAATGATGTCATTGTCTTACAACTCAACAAGAGTCATTATTGATGGGGACAAAGGTAGGTATGAGGTATTTGATGTTTACTCGGAATCCAACAATCACACAGTATTGACAAAATAGAGGCAGACTTTGTTTGGATGGATGAAGAGTAATAATATTAGCAGGGATCACATTAACCCACTGTTTTTCTTTTTCTTTTTCAGACTAGAAATTTTAATTTATTTTTTCCTATGTAGATCTTGTTTAATTAAATGTATCGATGTTAAAAGTAAGTAATTGTTAGTTTTGAAAAATTATCTGTAACAGCAGGAGACAAGACTTATTATTTACATATGGATTGAACTTAAAAACTTTCTGGAAAAATAAATCTTCAGAAAAATGTGAATAATTAACACGCGTATAGCACGAGTCCATTATTTATTGTATTTTTTTATATGTTATCATCATAATTAATCTTGACTCTCCTCCATATTAATTAAAATAAGAGCATAATTCAAAAAAAAATATTGAAATTACAAAAAATGATAAATATAAACAAACAATATTTTCATTAAAAAACTGATAACTATAAAGCAGCGAAAGGAATAAAAAAAGTGTTTTTTTAATGAAGGAGGAATTGAAAAAAAAAACTGAAAATGAGTAAGTAAATATTCATGTTAGGAAAAATTAAATAAATATATTACTACAATTTAAAATACTTTAGTGCATTGTGATAATTTTACTAACGTGAACATTATACACAATATAAATCATAACGTTTCTATTAATGAACTATGTTGCGAAAACTAATTCTTTTCACTGTATTTGAATCGATTATAATATCATATTTTCTTTTATTTTCTCTTCACGTGGTGAGTTTAATTCATATGAAACACCTCTAACCATGGTGCTATGCTTCATAATTTCAAAGTGATACCTAACACAAGTTATGTATACCAAGAACATGTTGATTGTTGAGTGTACAACGTTGTTAAGGTGGACGTTAAATTTTGAATTTCGAAACAAATGTATTTATTACGAAGACTTCTTAGTATAAATATGGTCAATATCCGTATGAATACACTCTGATAACAATCTTGAATATAATGACAATAATTTAAACATGATACAGATAACATTTAATTCGCTTTTTCTTCACACATCCAATCAAAAACAGGAGTAAGATTACACTAATATTAATTGTGGGAAAATATGTTACTTTAACAATTTAATTTCAGCTTTGAGTGGAAGAGTAATCAAAATATTATACTACTAGACACGATCCCCTTTTAGGCCCATTTAACAACGTCCAAATCATGCATGCAAAAAAATCATTGTCATTTTAAAAGCCTAAAGAAATAAAAGAGAAAAGGTATGCTTCGGAAATTGGGTGTTGCTCCCTCCACCTCCACAGCCTTCTCCCTCCACCTCCCCAATTATCTTTAATTCCAATTATATCCTTAAAGTTAAAATTTTTTATTTTTATTATTTTATTATTTTAATATTTAAATATAAACTAATATACTGAAAGAGAATATGTTACTAGTAGCATTCTAAAATATACCTCTGGAAGATGTCGGGAGAGAGGCATTTTAGGATCTGATCTGCATTTAGCATGAATTATGGGACCTAACTGTGACCTCTCCATGCTTGTTGCTAATTTTTCTGTGGGTTGATACAGGTACGCAGCTCCTCTATACATCCACTCCTCCATTTCATCACTGTAAAACTCCTCAAAAGCCTCTTCACACAATGCACATCTTTTCTGCTCCTCTTCTGCTACCACCGCCAACTCTTGTTCATCTTTCGTTTCTTCTTTTCTTTCTGTCGGAAAAAAAGCTGCTACTGACTTCGTTCCCACTGCCTCTGCACCACTAAGCCACATCCTCTCCCTCACAAACCATTCACGACAGATTCTCTGCTTCCGATTCTTGGTCACATGCCAATCCATGTGACTTCTGTGTTCCTCTTGGCTTCTGAATCTCAGCCCACAACTTCTGCATTGTCTAGGGAGATCACCATACAAGCCATTAATTACAGACTCATGCCGAACCTTCAGAATGTC